ATATATATATATATATATATATATATATTTGAAAAGTAGACCGTCCAAGGTTTCTGAGGGTGTTTTTTAAATGTGTATATGATAACACCTCGCAGAGTTATTTAAATGGTTTGGCGAAATTTCTGTCAGATCCCACCGGCGGGACCGCCGACCCCAGAGGAATTTAATATTCTAATCTAATCAGTTAACGGTCAATGTTCGGTTAACGAACGGCGGTTGTCGGTTGGGAAAATTAATCGAAATGAGCATCCCTAGTCACAAACACAAAGGGCTGGGAATGTATGCGAGAGCTCAGTTGCAAGCACGTGTGGGATCCGGCACCTGGTTTTACAAAAAGAAAAAAGGTTGCTGCTCTCAAGAGAGGCAAATTTATCATTAGCATGAACATCCTCCCACACTCAAATTATCCAGCTGTATGAACAAGTATATTACAGCTGTCTAGATAAAACATTTTATATGCATTATAAACAGGTCTGCTAACAGTACTACAATTACCAATAAAAAGTAACTGGGTCTAAGACAGTGAGGGCTTGGTTACCATGTTTTTAAAATTAATGTCATATGATCATGATTTTGGTGATTAATGTTTTTTTCCAAACAAGCAGCCCATGCACGTGGACCCCCACAGACACTAAATACTGTGGAAGTTATGGCAGTAAAGCAGACAGATGCCTGAGTAATGCGCTTGGGCTTTGGGTCGCTGTCCTGTTTAATGAACAGCTGAGGCCTGGCTGCACTTACCACCACTGTCACGGCCTTCCTGTGGCCCACGAAGTCCATGTTGGTCTTCCAGCCATCTCTCTCGATGATCTGGGCCGTTGGACCAGAGTTATTCATGGCGTGGGCAGACACCAGATACTGTCCATCCGGAGACCAGCTGAGACGCAGCACGTGAGTGGTGCCTCCACACTGAGATATGTGTACAAGCGCATGCACAAATTCAACTTCAACTGCAGGCCAGTGTCCTGCCCCTAACATACCCTTACATTCATGTCAGATATGGGTGTAGGTGCAAATATTCACTTAAATGGTATAGAATAACACTGATTGAAATACTATTGCCTCGTTTCCACCAACATGGAGCAGGTGCTGGTGCCAGTGCTGGGCAGGTTCTCCCTTGGTGATTTGAGAACCAGCCTGCGTTTCCACCGGTTTCAAAAAAGAACATTAATGTTAGTCTCTGCTAAAAACTACATTTTGCAGTCCGCATCATGATCTCTTTGCCACTCGAATGCAACAATATTTAATTTATTCATCCTATAACATATTTATACTTTATTAAACATATTTATACTTTATTAAATCTGGCCAGCATATCGATCTTTCGTTTTTCACAAAACAAACACGATGCAACGTTGCATCATTTATGTGAATTATAAGTGTTTTAGTGCAAGTTAATATTTTAAGTAAAATATTACTTAAATTGTGATGTTATTTTCAGTAAATACAATCCATACTAGTTTAAACTATTTTACGACGTTTTGTCTCCGCAAAGGCTCCCCCATCTGTGTGCGTTAGTTTATTGTCGTTTGCTGTTTTACTGCTGTCCTTTTAACGATCATGCAATAATGCTAAAAACTGCTAAAAAAATGAAGTTTTTCAACCTGCAACATATTTATACTTTATTCCTAAATCTGGCCAGCAGATCGATCATTTTTCTCAGACAAAAAATATGATGCAACCTTATTCCGCTAATAAGCTGGCAAGTTGTTTCACTGCCAGCACTGCCATTATTAGACTAAATATTGGTTATAGATTGAATTTTCCAAGTAAAAGGAAGGTTTGGATGCCATAGCCCACCCCACTTTCACTGATGTTATAGTGCCACATTCTGACCCAAGTTTTTCTGTGGTGCCATGCTGGAGCCATCTTTTCTGGCCCAGGGCCATTTTTTGTGGTGAAAACACATGGTTCCAACCAGTCAGTGCCAGACTGGGGAAAAAGTCCGGCACCAGCATCGGCACCGCATTGGTGGAAACAACGCTTTCCCATGAGATACTTGTACATTCACTTTTTTTTTATGGTACAAATGCTAATGATGATAGAAGCTTATACCGGTACGTACAATGGACACTCTCCCCAGAGTGCCCACACACACAGGGCCAAAGAGCAGAGCTACTAGGAATCGGCAGTGATCATCAATCCTAGCCCCAGACAAACTGTCACTCCAGATGGCTTTATGTCTGTCTCTAATTACTCCTGTTTAATTAGAGACCACTATTGATTGCTGGACTATTGTATCAATGCAATATAGTCAGATGTAGCAGTAGGACTGGATCACACATTAACTTGTGGTGTTTTATAATACTTTGCCACATTAACTTATAGCTTTCTGCATTTCTGCACAAGAAAGTAATTAAGACTTGAATATAAACTTAATGGAAACAGTGGCTCAGTCCCATGAGGCTGAAGATTCGATTCCAGCTGCCTTTTCTGCATGTGCCATTCTCTCCTATGTTTGCGTGTGGTCAGTGGACTCAAGTTTCTTTCCACAGTACACAGTCAAATGAACCGTCTAAACTACCCAAAGTGCACGACTGTGGGCTGGTATCCCCTCCAGAATGCCCGGTGTTTCTGGGGATAAACTACCGGCTCTCCAAGACAGTGTACTTAATAAATGGTTATGGAAAAAAATTAATGGATGGATTTGAAATTAACTGCCCTGTCATGTTGATATGTGCCACGCCCAGTCTGCATTAGTGACATCACCTCATTGAAGGGCTTGGTAATGTTGGTCTCCAGCTGCCAGTCCATCGTCCTCCACACCTTCAGGCTGTGGTCATCAGCCTGCGAGGCAATATACTTCCCCACAGGGTCCCAGGTCAGGCCCTTCACCAAACCTGTATGACCCTTTAATGTGGTGACAATCTCTAAAGAGATGGCAAGGTCAAGGTGAGATGGGAGAAAAGCATGAGTTACAGGAGATTCTCAGAAGATGGACTCCTTCACATGCATGTTACCTGGGTTAACATGAGCACTTTAAGGACACCATGCTCAAAAACTACACTACAAGTTATGCAGATGCTCTATTTCAAAACTAGTTCCCTGCTCCTGTTCCTATGAGCGCCTGGTCTATTCCACACTCTCAGCCCACCTGGAAACTTGCGTGCGTTCCAGATGACGATAGTGTTGTCGACACTGCAAGACGCCAGCCACACATCATGAGGTGACCACGCTACATCCATCACATCTGAAATCATATGCAAATGATTAATACTGTTGCCAAACAGTTTCAAAAGATAAAAGGCTTTCAAAACACATTTCTCCTGAAGGCTGCTGGGATGAGCACTTTCATGTTCTTGAGTAAACAGCATCAGTCCAGTAGTTAGGTAAGAATGTAATAGAATATGATACATTATTCATCCCCTTTGGATAATTGGCTAGTTTTCACATATCCCATTATGCTCTCTTTTGGGGTCAAAGTGCAGGGTGAGCCAGAATTCAGTGGCCCTGGAGCAAGTGGGGTTAAGGACTGTGTGCGAAGGTCCAACACTGGCAATCTGTCGGCCACAAGATTTGAACCAGCAACCTTCTGATAACAGGCACAAGTTCTAACCCAAACCTAAGACAGAGGTAAATTTAAAGTATACTAACACATGTATACCCTATCAAAAAAAGACATGTCTTAAGTTTCAGAACAGCAAATTAAAAAAATTAAATGCATACTGCCACAAAAATTTACAAATGACGTTGTGGAAGAGAGAAGGATGAGAGGTTATAGTGCATGTATTATGTGCAAAGCCTCTGTCTGATGGTAATGTGGACTTATCAGGAGTGAGGAGTAGATGGGCCCCAATCGCTCCATCCCTTACCCCCCGTGTGGTTTCTAAGGATGGTCACACATCGCCACTGCTCCACATTGGCTAGCTTACTGCTCGAGCCAAAGACAGTGCTTGGGCCGATGTATCTAAAAGGTATAAACACAGACTTAGAGCTCAGAAAATTAGCATGTATAAAGGCTGATGCTGCTGATATGCAGCCATCTCCCAAAGATTTCAAAAGCAGTCAGTCATTTCAGGAGCCAGTCACAGAAAAGCACATTGCTACTGCCATCTATCACAAATGCCAGAAAAGACATTTTATGTTTGTTACAAGTATTTAAAAAATACACACACTTTTCCCAGATTCATTTCAAAACCCTACAAATGCAGACATATTTCACTGTTGCTTAACATACAACATTCACACTACACCTTTGCTGCACTGAAAAAAGCATAAAGTTACATTCATGCAACTAGCCAAGGCAACATTATTAGGAACTCACGCAGCTCGCTTCCACACCATCACCAGCTTATCATCGCCGCCGGAAGCCAGGTAGACACCATTGTTTGACCAGCGGACACAGTTCACACAGGCTGAAGTTAAAACGGAAACAAAACTGATATTATCAAAGGTTTTGCCTCCTTCACAAAATGCTTGACAGGACTGTACCAATAAACCTGAGTAATATGAAATAAAAAAAAAAAAGACGAAGGGAGGCATCGCCACACCTAAGTGATTGTCCATCTGGCACAGCATCTTTGGAATGTTCTCATTCTTCTCATCCTCTTCCCGGAGGACAGGAGCCATGTTCCATATGACAACCTTCCCAGAGTCTTCTCCTGCCAAAACCAAACACAGGTTGTAACACTGCCCTGCTCCAGTGGCCCCAAGGTCAGAGTTCCGTCTCTCAGCAGATGAAATATTTCCATTTGGCTGAAATGTTATCAGTGCCCATGTAATATTTCCTAAAAAATAAGTCTGTTATAAAAGGCTGTCCTCAACAGTCCCCAAGGTTAGCAAAGAGCAGGAAAGCATTGAAAATACTTCTCAAATTAACATCCCTGCTGGCCGACAGCAATCTGACACACTACAGGTCTCCTGGTACCTCGAGGAGAGCAATCACAGAAAGGAAGAAGAGCCGAAGAAACAGGAAACGGGTAGGTTGCACTCCATTATGACTGCTTCACACAAAAACTCAAACAGATTTGTTCTAACAGATTTCACACTTACTATGTCTTCAGTATATAATTAAGCAGCAAACTACCATCCTGAGTAGCATCAAACAACCTATATTTAAAGACTGTAGTTTAAAATTATATATTAATGCTGGGTCCACCGTCTTAAAATAAAACCGTTATTCTGAAGTTTAAGTCTACTTTAAAGTTTCAAACAAAATTTACCTTGCCCGCCTGTAGCAAACTTTGTTCCCTCTGGATGGATGTCAACAGAAAATATTGGTTTTCCTGAAAGAAAGAAATATCAATGTGCCATTTCAGAAAATTATTTAGTTCACAAATAAGTGTTCAGATACATGGGGAAAGACGACATTTTCAACGACACTTCTCTGCCTGCCATCGCAAGTTTTCGCAGGTGGTTCTTAGGCATAAAATGTCTACCAACACACTTGAAACCTAAATAAAATGTATATTGCGGTAAAATACTCCTACTCGTTATAAATATTACGCTGGCATTTATCTGAATATCTTTTTTATTTAAACATTACAGAGAGCCCTGTGTATAACCGCGCTATTTAGCCACTTAGTTCCCAAGTTTATTAGTTTTGTTCACTTCGGTAACTACGATCATTCATTTTTCAGTAGTGTGAATTTATTTTAATTTAACTAAATAATACCAGCTTTCATCACGGTTTATTAATCTCTCGCGAAGCTTTCAAATCATTTAAATACTGACTTATCCAACTATTTTTTGCGTGCATTCCCCATTTAAGTTTATTATTGTGCGCGCACACGATTCGTACTGCTCTGCTAAATGAGAAAAATAAGCTGTAGCTCTTAGCTAGCTAGCTAATTCAGCTCCTGGTTGCAACTTCAAAATGGATAACTGGGACGGACAGGCGAGGCGGTCCAGGCACAAACATATGCGGGACTACAAACGCATCACTGAGAAAGCACTTTGCGCTAAAACATTTGTGAAATTAAAAAAACAGCATCCAGTCGTTTGGAGGAATTAGTAAACTTGCAGGTGCTTCAGGTAGGAGGAGGAGGTGGAGGAGAGGGTGCATTCCGGCGAAGTAGCCCGAAGCCTACGGTAGCCCCGGCTAACTGGTAAAAGCGAAAAGCGCAACTTGAGGATTCCGGCAGTACGGCGAGGCGACAGCTCCGCTCACCATTGTGATTGACCCAAGTTGGTTTCAACAGCTTCATTTCAAGCGCGTAGCCCTGAAAATAAAAAAAAACACCAGCGTCGGGGCTGAAGCAGTCTCCCCCTGCTCTTTTTCTCCGTCGGTCCCCGGGCACAGCTCACTATCTCTGCAACCTTCGAGCGAAATCCCGTCTGTTACTCCGGGCTTTAGTGAAACTCCATTTCTCTCTCCCTCATTCGCATCCCTCAAGCTCCTGGCAGCAGCTGCAGCAGCAGCAACACAGGAAGTATCCGACCTTTCCCTCGGTTCCCCTGGAAACACATGCCCGGGTAGAGGTCAGGTCCGTGTCCCCCTTGCCCTGCCCTCTCTGGAATAAAAAGGTCCACATTATCCAGATTTCATAGGGCACAGAAAGTACAAAATTACTTACATATGCGTACGCAAACCTGTATACATAATCCTTGTGAACCTGCTTTGTGTACCTAGTAATGTTGGGTTTTCCTTTAACATTTAACATAGTCGAGCACAACGTTTGTAGCACTTACCACTAAAATGATCGATGTCTAACTGTACAGTTTTAATACTAGCTTTACAGTAGATTCTAAATACATTTTGTTTGGTGTGAATAACAATTATTGCTAACAATTTCCTGCCTCTTTTCTGCTTCTACGTTACCATCTTGAATGAACAAACGGGCCTAGCAGGTTTCACTATGGGCTATGAATTGTTTAATCTTAGTTAATAGGAACTTAAAGATTCTGTCTTGTTTTTAGTCGGATAGGGTCGACTGTGACACAAGGGGACAACGTGAGGAGTCTGAACGAGAGGACAAAAGGATTTACAATTTGTACATTTAACAGGAGAAGATCTGTGTGATTATAAGCATTTGTTGGATTGTAGAGACATTTGTGCATTACCGTAAATTATGTTCGTCTCTGTGGGCACTACACTAACGAGGGTATTGTTGCACCAAAGTACGACGACATGGTAAGAGATTACCGGAATGTTATATGTGCGATATTTGCCGTAAGAATGATGGAGGTCAGTGTGCTACTTATATTCATTATGTTTGTGTAGCGTTATCCAGGATTTGTAGCATAATTTGCTTACATGTTTAATCTGCAGTTGTAGTTGTCACATGAATCGGTTGCTGTGACCAGAATCAGTAATATTTTAGTGTTAGTTTCTAAGTGTCATTTGTTGAATGTAAATTGCATTTTATCTCTAACGGTGGTTCAGGTTTGAGATCTAACGATACGTTGTTTTGTTCAGCATATTAACAGCTCAGCCAGCAAACATTAGGCTCAATCACTGGTTTCCATCTTTACTTGCAGTGAAGACCTCTACTCCTGTAAGGTTAGTGTTGAGGAAAAACCAATGTACTATGGGTTACCTACCCAAATTTATCAGTATGGTACTGCTATAAGAACGTGGTTTCCTGTCTGCTGGAGCATATCTTTGTTCTAATAGAGCAGAGCCCACTAAGAAGAAGAAAAAAGTGGACCCAAAACGAGATGTAGAAGCCAGAGAACGTCTCAAGAAAAAGCTCAAAAGAATGGAAAAAGTCCCTCCGGAACTTATACCTATTGAAGATTTTATTGTACCATCCAAGTACCTTGACGAGATCAGGTATGTCTCACAGAAGCAGGCAGTGCTCTTGATGCATGCACGTTTAATAAGTATAGCAAAATTCTCATAATTTAAGGGCTTATTCTGTAGTAAGTGTAGATATTTATGGTTTGTGATGCATTATACTTTTGTGTTAAATTTAAGATTATATGTACATATACATAAACATATATGTTTATGTATATGTGTATGTACATATAATCTTACATTATATATATATATATATGCACTTCTCTTTACTTCTATTAATGTTTATCTTGTTGATAAGTGACTTATGAGTACGTGCAGTCTTGTACTGTATGTCCTGTATGTGTATTTTTCAGAGTGCGATCCCCACCGCAACTGTTGTCAGAGGAGAGCGAGCGCAGGGCGCTGCTGCTGAAGGACTGGGCCCGGTACAAGCAGGCTCAGCACAAGGAAGAGATGCAAGCTATTGCTCAGGCTCTGGATGCACAGCAGGAAGCACTGAAGGAGCTGCGGCTGGAGTCCGAGGAGCTGTATGAGGCTGCCATCCAACGAGACCCAGAGCTTGTCCCTTTTCTAAACCAGGGACCCAGCCACACACCACCAATAACAAACTACCAAGCACCAGAAGGCAAATATAATGATATTACCAAGGTTTATGTGCAATAAGTAATAAAAAATGCAGGGCAGAACTGAACTGTATCAGTTTTTTTTTTTTGGGGGGGGGGGGTTGCTTAAGCATTCATGGACCCTACTAAAGCTTCAAATAGGTTGTCTTGGATGTTTCTGAAGCTACAGTCTCCCCTGCAGACCTAGAGAATCATGAGGAGTATAGATACTTATGAAAACATCTTTCTTGGTATATTACACTCATGTTTGACTTTACTTTTTTCTTCACAATACAATGTTTAGTCCATGGATTCTGTGCAGCAAAGAAATAACATTCTACTACAATTTACCTGTTCTGTGTAAAACACATTGTATATAGCCCTTTACTGGGTAAATAGTATAGGGGATGGATGAAGTAAATAAAGGCACTATTAACTGATACTTACAAAAGAAAGGGGAAAAAAATTGGAACATACACCATACAAACAGTTTTTTTTTCTTTTTTGTTTGCTCAAGTTTTGACCAAATAAACCATGTACAATATACATGGTAAAGTCAGGATAGGCAAATAGGAGGTCCAGTTGACCATTATTGGTATGTTGGGATTTCAGGGTTCCTCGGGCTTTTCCTGGTTCAGAGGTAAATGCCAGTCTTCAGGGGGCTTCTGTCGGAGTTTCCACACTGGGGCAAACTTACTCTGTGCTGCCACCCTAGCTCTTTCACTTTGCTGTAGCAGTTCCTGGTAACAAAGTTCAGGACATGCAGTTAACACTACATTTCTGCAGATCCCCCTATTCTATATTAAATTCTTTGATCATTATCCTTGGGTTACTAGTAACTAGTGAAATACCCTAACTATTGAATTATGAGGGTTATTTCTTACAAATTAATATATGGCCATTTTATGGCTACTATATATGGACACATACTCCCATAAAGTCACCCATATTCTTCATGGTGACAAATTATGGCTGTATGTGTCTTACTGTAAGGGACTCTTACCTTGGCCTCAGCATTATGTCTCTTCTCCCATTCTCGACAGGCTTTGTAGTCGTCCTTCCACTGCTGACAGGCTGGGATCGTACCAAAAGTGTAGTACTGGTAAAATCGATTCCAGAGGCTTTTGCAGTGATTGAATTCATTCCAGTAGTCATCACACATTCGAGGGGGCTAAAAAAAATAAATACAACATAAATACATGAAACATTTTAAAGGAACCATTTGTATGTTAGTCACATTTAAATCATTAAATGAAAGCATTCACTTGTCTTAGGAAAATTAATTTGGAAAAAATGCTGAGTATTACGAATAACCGTAAATCTGCAATACTTCATTATGATCAAAATAATTATATTGTGCTATTATTCACAGGTATATGCATAAATACACAAACTATAGAGGGAAGTTCACTGAATTACTGGTCTAAAACGACAGCAATGTAAAATATACTGAAAAACTATAATATCTGAAACTCGTCAGATTTAGCAAAAGTCAACAATTTGCAAACCCACTCTAATGAGTGGGTTTTTTGCTCATAAACGATAAGTAGCTTTCAAGTGAAGCAGTTTTTGTCTTTAAGCATGTCTATTGGTGGTTATTGAATATTTCTGAGAATATGTACTATTTAACACCGTGTTTTCTAGATCCAGGACAGCACTGCAGGATTTAAAAATGTATAATATTATAATCTATTAAAAGATTAAAGTTATTAACTTTATTTTGGAATACACTACTAGTTGGAAGCCAGCGATACAAATAATGGGATACAGGTATTTCGGAATGTATTTCTAGAATTTCGAAAACACTGGATCATTCACCGGTAACGTCCTTCTGATTGCCGCTATTCCTGTTGTAAAACAATCCATGACAACATGTACAACTGAAATCAGCTTTCAAACTATGACTCATCAGGCAAAATATAACCATAAGTGTCAAAAGTATATTATAAAAAAATCTCGTCTTATAAAAATAATAAAAATACAAACATACCCTCCACACTGCATTCGTAGCGGTCATCCTCGGCAGTTCCTTGCTTGTCAACCGGAAACGGATGCATTTTAATCTCATGGTGTAACTACCAATCAAACACTCCGAAAGTACAGGTCCCGCCCTAATGATTTTTTTTCCCGCGGTAGTGATAAGGCTTATTTTCATTCTACTTATACACTTAATATTAAGGCCGTTATAATATGCGATATTTCGCAACTTAGAAGGGCATGACAAACGGTACAAAATACCAAAGATTCACCCAATACATACACACACATACATACACACATACATACACACATACATACAC